AAAATCTCGACAGCGGTGTATATAGGATTTTTCAATGCCGGAAGTGGGCGAGGAAACGCGTTCACGTTGTACTTGTTTTCATTATTCAGCAGTTTAATGTACATCCAGACGGCAACTTTGTTTGGAAAATTAAATATATGGGACACTCGTATCGATTAATCATGCATACGACGCCTTATCAAGCGTACAACTTTCAAAGGAATTGTTGGTGGAACACGGAAACTCGGTTTTTCAATTATCAAATCATCTATGAAAGAAAATTTCTTCTTTGTTTGCATTTCTTATGTTTCTTTTTATTTTCGTGTTGTTGTTGAATTGTGCAGTTTTATGTTTGTAGAAGTAGTGGCAGATTTTTGTATGGAAAATTTAATATTTGTGCTAGGGAGTTTAAAGAAGGTGCAATAATTATATACGTGCTTTTAATTGATTTAGAAATTCTTTTTGAAAGAAAATTTCTTCCTTGTTTGCATTTCTTATGATTCGTTTTATTTTCGTATTGTTGTTGAATTGTGTAGGTTTTTGTTACGTTCGTGTAGAAATATTAGCAGATTTTTGTTTGGAAAAATTAATATTTGTGGTAGGGGTTTTAAAGAAGATATAAGGAATATTTTGATAGGTACTTTCAATTACTCCAGGAATTCTTTCTAAAAGAAGTAACTTTTAGAAAATATACAAATTTCCTAATTTTATAATTTACAAATTGACAAACTTATAAATGTAAATTTATAAATTTACAAATTTCAACCTTTTCCAAATTTCTAGAATTCTTAAACGCCTAAATTGTTAAATATTCAAGTTTCGAAATTCTCAAACTTCCCAATTTCGAAATTCCAAAATTTCCCAAGCTTCCGAAATTCTCCAATGCCTGAATTATTAAATTTCCGAATTTAAAAATTTCTAAATTTGATAAAATTCCAACCCCCTAAATTCTTAAACTTTCACAATTCTAAACTTTCAAAATTGGAAATTCTCAAATTTCAAAATTTCTTAAGCTTCTAAAATTTTCAAATTTCTACATTGTTAAATTTTCAAATTTCAGAAATTCCTACATTTGTAAAAATCCCAAATTCCTGAATTCTCAACTTTCCCAATTTGGTAATTCTTAAATTTCAAAATCTCAAAATTTCAAAATTCCAAAATTTCTCAGGCTTCTAAAATTCTCAAATGTCCAAATTGCTAAATTTTTAAATTTCAAAATTTCTCAAATTCCTGAAATTTTTCAATTTTCTTACATTTCCCAAATTTCTCAAATTTCAAAATTTCTCAAATTCCTGAAATTCTTGAAATTTTTCAAAATTTCTCAAATTTCAAAATTTCTGAAATTCTGGAAATCTCCCAAATTCCCAAATTTCTAAATTTCTAAATTTTCAAACCTGCAAATTTCAAAATCTCTCAAACTAGATTTACTTAAACTTAGTAGCGACTATTTTAAAGCATACATCGATTAAACAAAAGACTAATAACATTTCATTTTTTGATTTAAGACAAAATATTGAGAGATATTTATATAGCCTTTTTAAAGTGCTGCTCTTTATGTAGAAATTATTCGTTAATATGCATTTGTTTTCGTTTTAATATTCACATACAACTTCACCATCGATGTAACAATCATAAAATGTAATAACGAGTTAAATTTATTAAGTTCATTTTATATCCCTCCTCTTTTTATACCCTCTTAAATTTCTCGTAATGAAAACGTTATAGGAAAATTCATTAATACCAATTGTTGATGACAGGAACGTGAAATATTTCATTTTAGTTGATAATTATCGGCATTTTTTAGTTTGCCGCGATTTGGTGTTGTACATGTAATAATTTTGAGTTATGAGGACATTTGAAAAGAATGCAAAGGGGTAACGAGTGGAAATGTGAGGCATCAAAATTGTTAATTATTGATTGCTTATAATTTATTGTTATGTTATGGACTGGTAGGTGATCTCTTTGCGGCGCGGGGGCGCTTTATGTGTCCCTGTGGTCGACAAGCCGTGGCTAGGGGGGGCGTTCTACGTCCCTCTGAGGCCTCCATGAAGCCCCGTGAGGGATGATGCTTTGCATCTCCTGTTGTGAGGGTCGACGGACGGAAATTACTTCGGTAATTTTCCGAGACGTACAGGCTAACCTAAGAGCAAAGCCACCAGGATTTTGAATCGTTCTCGGATCGATATCGTCCGTAGTGGGGGTAGGACCACGTGACTCAGCGGGGTCCGTGCCGCTACGGATCGAGTCGCTCTTATCATTCGTTCG